GAAATAGCCATATTTTTAACAGTAAATCCCAACTAACGAAATATATTCATAGCAGATCACGCCTACTAAATTGATCTATTTATCAGAATATAACTATTCAAATAATATCATGGAACAGGATTACGGACTTGTAGTAAAATTTGAAGAATGAACTATGGAAAAAATTGCGCAAACTTACAAACATACATTCTTTTTGAAAATATACTATACTCAAATAAACTAATGTTATGCTGAATAAAATATCACACTGAAAAACAAACAATGATCAGGTAGAAATTGTTTAATAGCAATGGGGTTTGCAAAGAGGGAATAAAATCCGCGTTTGTTGAATGTTGATTATTTTAAATGCCTTAGTGATACCTATGTTAATTCCAGGATCCATTAAGTATAAAAGGCACAGATTGAAGTGTCTTATGTAAATGGGCATCCCAGGAAACGTATAATGAAGCATGGAAAATGTTAACAAAAATCCTCGAATAACTAGCGGTTGTAAAAATTTTTATCTTCATCCGTATTGTATTCAGAGGAAATAAGATTCCAACTAGAACTGATGAAAGGATTAGAGTTCAGAAAAAATTTTTCTCTCCCGTTCGACTGTTATTAAGAATATAGTACCAAATGTTCCTCGTATCAAAGAAAGATTGATTCAGTATCTATCTCAAGTCATCTCTAAATGTATTTGTGAATATACAAGTACTTATAGCAGAAAGTTTGGTAGGAAAGAATAAAAGAAGTGTTTTTACAGAACTTTCTGGACACATTCCTTATATGATCTTTCGGAGGAAGTAAAATTTTCGCTGAAGTAATAAAAAAACATTTAAAAGTCGTTAAAACTACTCCTAACATAATTTGATTGTCAAACTATCCTACTTGGTGTTAGAGATAGGGAAATGATAACCACATTCGTAATTCTAACAGTACTCAGTTTCGTTCAGTGACGTTTATACAAGCTTATTGTATCATTGTGAAACCTCGTATTCATCAGTGGTGTACCAATGAATCAATAATAAGCTTTAAGAAAACCATTTTCTTCTACTAACTTAATTACTGACTACTTCGTAGAGATTTTATAATCAAGACATCAAAATCAGGCATCTTATCAGAGATTTCTTGTTAACCAATTTCCACAACCTTATACCGGTAATGAATTATCAAGTTATATATTGATATGTTTTTGCATTTTCGACCACTTATTTTCCTTAAATTATTTCTAATGTCTCAAATGTTTGATTCACTTGTATTTAATCGCAGTACCATCCCACCTAATCGACTTAATACATTCACTTTTGGAATGGCGAGTTGAAAAAATTATTCTAATTACTTCAATTCTATTAATGTTATATCGCCTTCTTGGTTAATTAGTTTGACTTATCTACTTTGTTCACGCTCATTCTATACACGTTAAGCAACTTCATATTGTGATCGTTTACAGTGTATGTATTGTTATTACAGAAGTTAGTATTACTTTATCTTGATTATTCGATATTTACAATTCTTTGAGTTCTTGAATATAACTTCTATGAATCTGTAAAGCAAACAATCCAACTTCATATGTGTTTCTCAGATTAAAATATGTTATTATTTTGTAGAATGTCTGATTATTTCACTATGTAACTACCATTATGTCACAGAAAATCTTCTGTGAGTTATTAAATTATAGGTGTTATAAAGATAGAACTATGGCATTGTACAAGTATAAATGTTCATACATACTAGTTACTACAAATGAGAATGTTTATTAATTTTGGAGGTGACTTATTTTTGAAGTATGTTGAAATTCAACGTGTCAGGGATTTTGTATTGCTATCATAAGAGTGATATTTGCGAGCAAAACATAATTAAAAATTTGAATAGTATGACTATAAGTTAGATTTGTTTCATTCGTTTGATATCGCTACTGAACATTCTTATCCATTAACGCACTTCAAATACATAAATCATATTACTTGTTCATAGCCTAGTAAGAGATCACATATCTGAATATTTGTATGCTGTTGATTTGCAATGTTTTCAGAAACACGAAAATAAACGTCTCTATTTTAAATTGTTACCAGATAAATCCAGTTGTAATAGATACTTACAGTTATCTTAACAAAAGAATGAAGATTATCATGGTGCGAGTAATTTTTTCTATGATGAACAAATTATTTAGTCAGATCTTTTATCAACACTTTCGGAAATATGATTGTGGATGATGCATTTTTCTGAGTTGTTATACATCGATTCATATCATTCGTCTATTCGCGTTTATTGTTGAGTTGAATTCATATGGACAAAAGTGTAAATAATATTTAACAATTATTATATACACTCAAGAATTAAATCTATAAAACTCTACTGATTAATCTGTTTATGTGTATTGATCATGAATATTACATATTACTGAAAGGTCTGAACATAACAATATCTTAGAAATCGAAATACAAGTGGGACACTGATGTCCAAGATCTGGACCATGTAGTTGACCAGACTAAAAAGATGGCAGTATCCCTCTATGATTAAAGTGAACTTCACTGTAGTTTGTTACCTAACCTTCAGTTTGTACAGTCTTTAAATATCTCATATGATTCAGATGTTGAATTTCTAAACCATTTTTTTAAACTGTTCTGAACTATCAAAATACCCTTTAAATGAATGCAGCTAGAATAGCTAGGTAGTAGCATTTGTGATTGCAACACTAGATGATGTGTGTTTAAATATTATTGGAAGCAATCAACCTTCTAAAAATATAAATAAGCCGTCAAATTTTTCCAACTCTCAGCAAAACCGTCTCACCTATTTTTTAAGTTCTTTCAATCAACCATTTCATGTCATAAAAATACCCGAGTTGGTACTTGGTAGGTGACTAAAAATGTAGGTAAACGTCCGAGCGTAGTTTATGACAGTCATAACAGTAATGTTATTTTTGTGTAAAGATAGCATAAAACGCCACTTGACTGCTTATATGTTTTATAAGTATTCAAATATATGAGTCATTGGTTGCTAATCAGTGTTGGCCTATTTAGTATTCAGGATTAACCAGACCTTGTCAACCAATTCGACTAACTTAACAATATAACACATTGGAATTTTTAAATATTATTCAAATTCAAGCTTTCTTTCAAATATAAATATCATCTAATTATATCCATCAACACGTATGTAACCTAGATAAGTACCCAACTAAGAAGGTCTCATTCGCATAATCACTTAGTCAATAGTAAACTTAGGTTTTGAGATTTATTACTTGAAGTTCTAGCCCGAATCAGTGCTCTATGAATTACGTTAAATTTGAAATGATCTAGTCATAGTGCATAAGGACAGTTCTATAGTAACAATAGACTTATGTTAAAAAATCTGAACAATGAAATAACATCTCAGTGAACTGCACATATTACTTTAGTCACAAAACCTAAACATATTAATATCCACCTTGTGTTCAATAATGAATTTATCATAATATAGAATTTACGAAATATACTAAAACACATTCACTTCTTTTAAGTTTTCTGAAACAGAAAGTTGTAAAAGATATAGTACTGAGTTTCTTAGAGAATCAAAATAAGTTATAAACGGTAAAACGTTACATTGAATAGACAAATAGATTTTGTTATCCATACAGATAACTTTGAGTAAATAACAAAAGTTTAAATTCACTTGTGTCTTTGATTTAAACAAATTAAAGAATTTTATCTTTTTTAGTAACAATATTGTTTCAAAAAGATAATTTGATTTATAGTCTGGTCTTCAATCTGTACAATCCAATAATTCTAAACTAACAAAAATATCCAGATCAATGTTATAAATGAATCAATTCCAAATGAATTCTTCACTATAAACTTTTGGTCATTGTTTTAATTAAATTTCAATAGATGAAATCATGAATCAATTGAAGCTAGACCACCATGGAAAACCTGGAAGCACTGGACGGCCGTTTCGTCCTAGTATGGGACTCCTCAGCAGTGCGCATCCACGATCCCGCACCCCGCGGGATTCGAACCCAGGACCTATCAGTCTCGCGCCAGGCGCTTAACCAACTAGACCACTGAGCCGGCATCCAACGGTGTTAATGTCTAACTTCAACTAATCCACGAAGTTGCGCCACCGTCACCATTGTCTTCAGTGAGCTGATATCTCACAACAGACCTGGTTGAACTCCACTGGTCACGGCTTCTCACTAGAACTCCAGGAGTATCTCTTGAAGTAATAATCATCTGCTCAGTGGTCTAGTTGGTTAAGCGCCTGGCGCGAGACTGATAGGTCCTGGGTTCGAATCCCGCGGGGTGCGGGATCGTGGATGCGCACTGCTGAGGAGTCCCATACTAGGACGAAACGGCCGTCCAGTGCTTCCAGGTTTTCCATGGTGGTCTAGCTTCAATTGATTCATGATTTCATCTATTGAAATTACCAATTCTCCACAAAACCCATTCTATTAATTAAATTTGTTTTTTTTTCTTAGAAATTATTATATAAACACTTATGTTACGAATTGTTAATTAGTTTGATAGTCAGACAATTTAAATAAGAAATTGTTTATTTATTTGTTTACTTTATGAGTTTTTATCAAAAGGGAGGTTATCTATACAAACAATAGAAGAAAAACAATCTAGGAGACAATAGATGTATAGGCATTTGAAAAAGAGTGAAAGAAAAAGGAGAGATAAGATAAAGATAAAATACATAATAAACCTTGTACTGAAAGAAAGAAACATTTAAAGGGTGAGGAATTAGGACAAAACAAAGAAGTTGCTTCTATCAATGATAAATAAACAAAACAAAATATATTCTTTTGGACAAAATCAGGTCATATATATTGATTATATGATTGTACTAATAAACTATTTGTAAGCAATATCTATCATCTAAGGTTTTAAAATATAAATCAATATAATAACAGTAATAACCATATTATAAACAGTAGTAGTACAATATAAGATAAATTCATATTTAGGACACTTAAAAAATAAAGTAATGAAATTAGGTGAATACGTGGGGGTAATGATCTAATGAAAATAATTGAATTATTTCACACCGAATTTTTGAAGTCCATGATTAACTTTCTCGAAAATTTCATCTACTGTACCAGAAGCATCAATCTGTGTGATTGGAAAAAAATTGAACATACAATTCATTTTTATAAAATTATTTTACTTAAAAAGCATTCATCAAAAGATACCATGAATTAATCTGTTGTGTTTGAAAGATCTATTTCTTCGGAAATCTAGGAAAGATAGTACTGCAACAATAGAAAACAGAGTCAATAAACATACTAAGGAACTTTTGATAATTCAAATTATAATAATCTAATGACGAAAAATCATGATTGCGTTTTGCGTACGGTTTCCCTAAAGTAAACAAATCAACATCTCGTCAAGATCTATACGGTCTATAATAAACCCACTATCTCATAAGCTGGCTCGATTATAAGCTAAATTACTAAAACAAACTCAGTTGGGACTATACTTTATAGTCGACCATGGAGTGACGCTAAAGTGACCGTGATAATTTTCACCTACTAACTAAGACTAAATGAGGGTTATGAAGCAGTGTAAGGAATTAGAATCATGATTTACAGATTTTAGTTAGGGTTGGGAACTAGATTTACGGTTTTCATCACGAACTAACATTCGTTAAAGTGCTAAAACGCTATTTAGCCAAATGGATGGATGAATTTCGCGCCAAAATCCAAAACCTGTTCTCTTATATCTGATTGTTTCGTCCATAAATTATGATTTCGCCATTTGATTATCATTTATTTAGGGTATAAGTCTTAAAATGTTACGCAATCAATTTCTATAATGTTAACTTTTGTGCGATATTTATTGAACTATTGACTAAAGCTCAAGATTCTAACAACCACATTTTCAGTTTCTTATTAACAATAACCTTTCACTCCGCTGTTCCGTCTCTTTGTTACTACATTCAATAACCTCTTGTTATGATTAACAAACAATAGATTATCGTTGCGAAAAACTAGTATGTATTTACTATTTTAATGCTTTTAGAAAAGCTGACTCATGCTGAATAAGCAGACTGATGTACAATCATGTCAGGTGAGCAAAATGTAAAATTTATATAACAAAGTAAAATATTTAGGTCAACTGAAACCATATTAGCAATTGTGAAAAATTTCTAAGGCAAAACATTGATTAAATTTTCTACAAGTATTGCACTACTAAACTATTCATCCCTAGTTGACTTTGTACTGAGTCATTTGTATCTGCCAGTCACTGAAGTTCCATTTTCAAAATGTAGACGGAGAACCTTCCTTTTACCCCTTAAAATAAGAGAAATAAATATTTGTTTGTTTGGTACTTACCATTGGCTTGGTTGACTATAATAACTAATGATTTTGTACACATGCTTCCGAAAATGTATTCTAAGACTTACTATGAATGTATCTCCTTAATTTTGAACACAATAATATTATGGGTTCGGTAATTACTGTTGCACAGATTTTCGAGAAAACAATTTGTACCACTAACCAGTTGACAAATTGTCAGTGGATTATATAAAATCTAAGTGGCACTCTGAGTTAAGTCAAAAACCCTTCAGACTATTATTGGAACTTTGTATCAGTTACGCTACAGAATCACACGTTATATCCACCTAAAATAACTAGATAAAGCTATAACTATGTTATTCAAAAACGTATTGTAGTAATTATTAAATTATCAAAGAGCTGTATATTGAGACGTATTCGTTAAATCTTTACTAGTGATTCATTGTCATGTAGATACTTTAATGGCAGAAACAATATTCATAAACACAATTATCATGCAAGATCGATCATTTCTACAAACACTTACAGTGATTACTTTATTTTCTTTTTTATAGTGTTCAATAACAGGTTTTGTTAATTCATTGAAAGTGCGAAAACGTTTCACAATTGTCTCTTCATTATCATCAACACGATTACTAGTCTCTGCTCTTTTCAATAGTCTTTTACGCATCACCTCTTCACTCACATCGAAATTAATTACACACAAACAAGGACATACCTTTAAAGTGTAAATAAATCAATTATTACTGATTAGTTAACATTTATTGACAAAATAATACTTTTATGTTATCTGATTAGATAGACAAATTGAATACGAAAAATATCACTTGCCATTTAATGGCTAGCGTCGGGATTGATGTAGGACTACACGATGACCAAAAAAGTACATCGTTTAAATGTTTCACTCTTTGTAACATAATAACATAGATAATAAGTAGTCGAAAACAATAAGATTTAGTAAGAAGATGCAATTTTTTGATACGTCATGATTCTAAACAACAGACACCACAACTAACCTCCATCCAACATATTACTTTAACGAAATAATCTAACTCATACAAAATTATAAATACAATGTCAAAACAATGAAATCTTCACAAACACAGTAATCTATTTTTACCTATTCCTCGTCAGTGTTTATCCATACAACAATAGCATTTTTACCGTCATTTCATGTCAAAACCAGAAACCGAACACTTTATTTATGTAAATTAATTAGATGAAAACAAGAAAAAGGCAGTAATCAATAAGTTGACTATGAATTTGTGCATGAGCACTGCAGAGGAGTCCCACAATAAGACGAAACGGCCGTCCAGTGTTTCCAAATTTTCCATGGTGGTCTAGCTTCAATTGACTTAAGATCCTAACTATTGAAATCACTACAATCTCCACAAAACCCCCTCTGAATTTGTGTATGTTTTGTTTCTTGGAAAAAATAACCAAATTATACAATATTTTATCTTACAAAGTGAACACCTTAAATTATAAGAATTCCATGGTTAGATTATTTAACATAAAACAGTCTTTAGGTGTTAACTCAAAATAATTCAAAAATTAAATGACAATAATGATAAACATTAACCATACAAAAACATTCAAGCAAATATTAATATCTGTTTATCTACCACTGCGAATTAGTTCACAATTAAGTGACTTCACATAAATAATTAACATAGTTTCATTTGACGGTTGTTCTAAAAGGAGAACTTGGAGAACTACAAAAGCCATCATCCAGAAGATACAGGTGTTTATTAACAGCTGTCTACGCAAAATACTTCGGATCCGTTCGCCGGACACTATTAGCAACAACCTACTGTGGGAGAGAACAAACCAGATTCGAGTGGAGGAAGAAATCAGGAAGAAGCGCTGGAAGTGGATAGGACACACATTAAGGAAAGCACCGAACTGCGTCACAAGACAAGTCCTCACATGGAATCCTCAAGGCCAAAGGAAAAGAGGAAGACCAAAGAACACATGATGCCGGGAAATAGAGATAGACATGAGAAAAATGAACAAGAAATGGATGGAACTAGAAAAGAAGGCCCAGGACAGAGTGGGTTGGAGAATACTGGTCGGCGGCCTACGCTCCATTGGGAGTAACAGGCGTAAGTAAGTAAGTAAGTCTAAAAGGAATTGTCAGAAGAAAACTAAAGAGATTCCGATATTATCTATAAATTTATCATATGGACTTGTTTTGATCAGTTTTATGTTTATAGTTTCATGTTATTCTTCATTAGGATTACATTAAAACATCTATGTATGATTACTGAAATATGAAAAACGTTTTCTAGTTGACTAAAATAGATGATACATTGTGAAAACTATTACAAATTATTGATTCATACATAGGATTCAATATGATTACTTACATTCAATTTATTATTCTATTTTTAGTTCATTGAATGATTAAGTGCTATAAAATACGCTACTTACTTACTTCCTTACGCCTGTTACTCCTCGCGAAGGAACATAGGTCGCTCACCAGCATTCTCCATCCAACCCTTTTCTACTGGGCAATCCTTTCCAGCTCTTTCCAGTTCTTATTCATCCCTTTCATATCCGCTTCTATTTCCCGACGTAATGTGTTCTTTGGCCTTCCTCTTTTCCGCTTCCCTTCAGGATTCCAAGTTAGCGCTTGTCTCGTAATGCAGTTTGATGATTTCCTCTATGTATGTCCTATCCATTTCCATCATCTTTTCCTAATTTCCTCTTCAGCTGGAAGCTGGTTTGTTCTCTCCCACAAAAGGCTGTTGCTGATGGTATCCGGCCAATGGATGTTGAGTATCTTGCTTAGACAGCTATTTATAAATACTTGTACCTTCTTGATGGTGGTTGTTGTAATTCTCCACGTTTCAGCTCCGTACAGTAGAACTGCCTTGACATTCGTATTAAAGATTCTGACTTTGATATTGGTTGAAAGTTGTTTTGAGTTCCATATGTTCTTTAATTGAAGGAATGCTGTCCTTGCTTTGCCAATCCTCGCCTTTACGTCTGCATCTGAACCTCCTTGTTTATTGACGATGCTCCCCAGGTATGTGAAGGATTCCACATCTTCCAGAGTTTCGCCATCAAGAGTGATTGGATTGCTGTTCTCCGTGTTGTGTTTGAGGACCTTGATTTTCCCATTGTGTATTTTGAGGCCTACTGATGCAGAGACTGCTGCTATGCTGGCTGTCTTTATCTGCATTTGTTCGTGTGTATGTGATAGGAGGGCTAGGTCATCTGCGAAGTCTAAATCGTCTAATTGGTTCTGAGCTGTCCATCGTATGCCGTAGTTTCTCTCAGATGTCGAGGTCTTCATAATCCAGTCGACCACCAGAAGAAACAGCTGTCCTCCATGCACTACTTTGCACTGTAGTCCGTCGTATGAGTTCCGGATAATGTTGACAATCTTCTCAGGAACTCCGTAGTGTCGAAGAATTTTCCATAACGTTCTCCTATTTACACTGTCAAATGCCTTTTCATAATCAATGAAGTTGATGTACAGTGACGAGTTCCACTCAATGGATTGTTCGACGATGATCCGTAGTGTCGCAATTCGGTCTGTGCACAACCGGTCCTTACGGAATCCAGCTTGTTGATCTCGAAGTTGAGCGTCAACTGCGTCTTTCATCCTGTTCAGTAACACTCTGTTGAAGACTTTACCCGGTATTGACAGTAGTGTAATGCCTCTGTAGTTTTCACACTTGCTCAGATCTCCTTTCTTTGGAATCTTGATGAGGTGTCCTTCTTTCCAGTCCATCGGCACTTGTTCCTCCTCCCAAATCTTCTTGAACAGAAGATGAAGCATGCTTGTAGTTACTTCGATGTCTGACTTCAACGCTTCAGCTGGTATATTGTCAGGTCCTGCTGCTTTCCCGCTCTTGATTTGTCTAATGGCCATTCTGATTTCTTCTGTCGTTGGTGGATTGACATTTATAGGAAGATCTGTGTGTGCTGCTTCGATGTCCGGTGGATTCATTGGAGCCGGTCTGTTCAGGAGTTCCTCGAAGTACTCTGCCCATCTGTTGCGCTGTTGTTGAATCTCAGTGATTGGTCTTCCTTCTTTGTCTTTGACTGGTCTCTCTGGTTTACTGTATTTCCCTGCAAGCTTCTTCGTCGTATCGTAAAGCTGTCTCATATTTTTTTCTCTTGCAGCTTTTTCCGCCGTCGTTGCTAGTTCTTCCACGTATTTTTGCTTATCAGCTCTAATGCTCTTCTTCACTTGCTTGTTTGCTTCTATGTACTCTGCTTGTGCTTGGACTTTCTCTGCTCTTGTTCGACTGTTTTTAATTGCTGTCTTCTTGTTCTTTCTTTCTTTGATCCTGTCCAGTGTTTCTGTAGAGATCCATTCCTTGTGATGATGTTTCTTGGGGCCCAGAACCTCTTGACACGTTGAAGTTAATGTTTCTTTGATACCTTTCCAGCTATCCTCCATAGTAGTTTCTTCTTCCTTCAGTAGATCCTGTAAGGCTTGGAACCTGTTGTTGAGAGCTACCTTGAATTCATTGAGTTTGTCAGTATCTCGAAGGAAGGCTGTATAGAACCTTTGTGGTGCTGTTTGTCCAGTTGTCCAGTTCTTCTTTAGCTTCAGTTTCAATTTGGCCACAACTAGGTAATGATCTGAAGCTATGTCCGCTCCTCTCCTGGTTTTCACATCTTCCATTGTCCTTCGGAACTTTTTATTGATGCAAATGTGATCTATCTGGTTCTCTGTGGTGTGGTCCGGTGAGATCCACGTAGCTTTGTGTATACGTTTGTGTGGAAATGTTGTACCGCCTATGACCAATTTATTGAATGCACACAGATTTGCAAATCTTTCCCCGTTTTCGTTTCTCTCTCCCAGTCCATGCAGTCCCATGATGTCTTCATATCCGGTGTTGTCCATTCCGACTTTGGCGTTTAGATCTCCCATCAGAATGGTGAGGTCCTTTCTTGGGCACTTCTCTATGATTGGTTGCAGCCTCTCATAGAATTGATCCTTAACGTCGTCGTTGCTATCATTGGTAGGTGCATAACATTGGATAATGTTCATTGTGATACCCTCCTTCTTTGTTTTGAATGATGCTTTGATGATTCTGGATCCGTGAGATTCCCATCCTACAAGTGCATTTCGTGCTACTTTGGATAGCATTAGAGCAACTCCCTGAGTGTGTGGAGCATTTTCCTCTTCGTGATCGGAGTATAGCAGCATCTCTCCCGTATTTAGCCTTTGTTGTCCAGCTTGGGTCCAATGGGTTTCACTGATTCCCAGTACTGCCAAGTTGTATCTCCTCATTTCCGTTGCTATTTGACTGGTCTTCCCGGTCTCCCACATTGTCCGGACGTTCCATGTACCTATAAAAATTGTTGCTCTGGTTGTTAGAAGGGGCATCGGCCTCGTGGCTTCCGAAAGAACTCGGCTTTCACCATGAAGCGTCATATTACCTCTAACTCCCAGGGCAGAGTTTAAATGGTTTGAGTTATTTTTTCCGGTTAGCGTTTTTTTTAGCGAGTTAGGTTTCTACGGGATGGGGACGCTAACCCCATGCCCAACCCTCCTCCTTTACCCGGGCTTGGGACCGGCAGTAACTGTGGAAGAGCTACAGGCGGAGTTATAAAATACGCTAACTAAACTTAATTTAGTTAAAAGATATCATCAATCTATACTGTTGCAGACTGGGTACTATTTAAAACGAATTAACTATCAATTATGTTTAGAATTTCACAGATTTTTAAACTGATTTTCACGTTGGATATATTTTTCCAGATTATTACCATGGTTTTTATCAGGTACATGATTAAATAATTATTTTGTTTTATAAAGAAAAGTAAATTAATATTGAAAACGTATAAAACCTTGTTTAATAATAATAAAAAAGACGTGCGATCATTAAAAACGGATAATTTTAATCTCCAATCTAATGACCACAGGCTTGTTCTTTAATGTAGTATGAAGCCAATTATCATGTGAGTGTTAAGTATTCCATTTTGCAATTAGTCTCGTTAATTATTAGCGTTTTCGCAACACTTCTTATACATGTGTGCTTGTCTGAATGTTGTTTGTACATATACTTATTTATTCACTATTTGAATTGTGTGCAAGCCCATTCAATAATTTGTGACTCATTCATCGCATTCTCTCTTTATATTATTGGCTTGGTCTCGTATGTGCCATTCCAATTCATATCATTTTCAGACCTATGTTTCAACACATAGGCAAATGCCGTGGCTGCATTCTGGTTAAACTAAACGACAGTTATGCAAAATAATTACGTGGCATTCAAATTCGTACTAATCACCAAGACAAACTATTGAAATCTGACTCACAGAACAAGGTTTAGACAAAAAGGTTTCCATTTAATTGGAGTAATATAGCAACTCTCCTACAAACAATTTCCATTGTGGTTGAATTTTGTTAAACCCTTTTATTAACTTAACAAACATTATTATTCGAATAGCAACAATTCGCATGTTTCTTTGTACTATTATGGTCTGGATAAACGTGTACGCTGAATCACATGATAGCCTATGCACATATCTCTCTCTGTGGCTTAAATACCGCTCGATAAGTTATTCTCTTTCCCATGTATATATGTACTCAAATACTATTATTAGCCTTTGCTTTACCTAGCTGCGCCATATTCCATTTGACTATAAATTCGCCTATCTGCTTCAAATTCGGTCGATGTGCTTGTAATTTTGTTATTCGTGTTATCCGCTAATAAGCTGTAGTTGCCGTTTCTTATTGCCTTCTGATTTCAAAAACCGTGAGATTTACATAATAACGGTTATATCAAGGTGATTGATTAACGAAGCTAAGCCACTACAGTAATATCAAAGAATATATTTACAAAAAAACGACACCTATTTACGGTCAATAAACACTATGTTTTGTACAGCTTATTTATTAAGTAGTCAAAGTAATGAAGTAAAAATACATTTTCATGTTAAGGCTCCAGATCGATATGAACAAAAGGGCGAATACAAAACGATCAGCAGAAGAAAGATTTTAATCCATTCATTATTTAAGTTATTAATGTAGTTTATGAAAATACTGCATAAATCTAGCATAGTTTCTGGATAAACTCTACTGAAATGAAAGGCAAATCAGAATGATCGACAAACTAAACATTGATTAACGTAAAAAAGGAGTGATCATAACAACTGAAATGATTTCTAGAAAATTATTCACGTGACTTTTATTGATGAATCGATTCGTTCTGTTGATAAAATCCAATAAAATAATTAAGTCAATATTATGTGAATAAACTGACTTGAAAACGTAAACTTTTTTTACGAATTATAAGTCCAAATTGAGATGTTGAAAATTTGGACGAATTTCTTTCTACCAAGGTGGTAATAATTTGGGTTGTCTCCTGCTGTACTACCTGAAAACGGGTGTTTCTTTATTTTAAATCACTCACAAAGACTGATTTATTTTAATCATTGAGAGATTATGAAGCTAGACCACCATGGAAAACCTGGAAGCACTGGACGACCGTTTCGTCCTATTGTGGGGTTCCTCATGATCTCAACCATTAAAATTACCATCATATACACAAAACTCCTTCTCATACTGATTTATTCAACTATGATTACCAATAACGCTAGAGTTGAGATCCTTACAACAAAAAACATACGTCGAACGAACTGATCAGCGTATTTGCTCAGAAGACTAGTGGATCATGCTCCGTCCTTTAAAGCTATGAATACTATATTTCAGGTCTTAGTGTGAACATTGACACCGATGAAGGTTAATACGCTAGACGAGATTGCTCCTTTTATCAAATATTAATAACTCATATAGCTAAAAATGATTCACCCTTTTGCTTATTAATTAAAAATCAGCAATATAAACAAGCAGTTACATGCAGAAATTATTTTAAGTGTAACTTTTAAAATTAAAGTTGTAACAGATTTGCCAAATTGATTAATAAATCGCAAATGAAAATGTAATATTCACTGTTTACCTCTTTTTCAAACTTAATGCCTTGATCCAATTCACGTGGATACCCATCGATGAGGAAATGACAATTTTTGTCGACCAGTTTAATCATTGCTTCTTTAAGTAAAGCTAAAACAACTTCCTATGTGAAACACACAAAGATAAAACTCAATGATTAACTAATAACATAGGAACAACAACGTAAACAACAGCTTTTCGTATAACATTATAAACGGTGTTCTGTCATTCAGTCATTAACAACCTAGAACTACGTACGTACTTACATCAGTTCGAGTTACCACACCACATTAGCACAGAGATGCAGTTGTCGATTCAAATCCCGTAGTGGTAGATGTAGTAATCAGTAATAGGAAACATTAGGGTTTGAAATTGTTATTCAAGGAGTATAACCCAGTGAAATAAATTTGGAAATAGAAAAAAGGGACACGAATATATCAGAAGATTAGAATTTGGGAGGACACAAAGAATGTCATTCAAGGTCCCTAACCATCGATTGCTATCATCTCGCGGGTTCCAACCAGGTAGTCTACATCTACCAACGTGGTTCAGTCCACTTGTCAGTGACTTCATGGACTTGTGCCATGTTTTGGTCTGACCGCCCCTAGCTTTCTTCCAACCTACTCCTACACCATAAAACACCCCACGTCGGAGCACTCGATGGTTGGGCATGCGTAACACGTGTCCCAGCCATCGCAACTGATGAAGTTTCCCTACTTCATCAATTGATTCGCCATCCTTACCTAGTACCCGTTTCCTAACAACTGCATTACTTAAACGGTGGTCCCAGGATATACGAGCAATGCTTTGAAAACGCCTATGATCGAATAATAGTAACCTACGAATATCCTCTACTCTTACTGGTCATGTTTCACTGCCATAAAATAGGATGGAACAAACTGCTGCACAGTAAACTCTTCCTTTGGTTGGTAGACAGATATCTCGCCTACGCCATAATGACACAAGTTGAAACAGTGCTAAGAAAATATAATATTTAGTTGGGTTGGATATCATTATTCTTAAGACGATTATTTCTACTCCATCGCTATTCATTTTATTAGTTTCAACTCATCGTAATGATGTTGTACGGGAACTTGAATTGATGGGTATTTTTGTGCTGAGTTCTACGTTGATTTTCACTGGTGACTGACATTTAAGGCAAATACGGAGGCGGTTTATCGGTTCCAAGTTTATTTAATGACTATGAGCTACTTTGTTGATTAAGGTCATAGATATCACTCATATTATCGTACTTATGTGGGTGGAGCCAGGTAAGTATTTCACATTGTGATTAAATTCCAAGTGTCTTCACGTCTGAGCCTACATCTTATGTAGTTTTTACTCCATGTTAGCTTTAAACTCATATGAATTAACATCACAATAAAGACGTTACGTCTAATCTATACATTCTACTACTATCCTCCAGTGGAGACGAGAGTAGGCTAAACAAATCAAGTTCATATTACACAAATTATTTGTTATAGTATGAATTGCTTTTTCGAAAACAATTGACAGAATAAAACAATAGGATTTCGGGACAATGCTGTGATGAATGCTAGAAATTTCCTAATCCATTATATTTTAGGACAAGTGAATTTTTTTAACGAGATAAAACCTTATGTATGTTAATATTTACTCAAAATGAAGCAGGTATTTATATGTATCATTTTGAAATTATAGAAACATACCAGGTACTAATCAGTTGCCAGTATTATTACTATTGTTATGATTATTATTTGAAATGCATCATTTGTGTAAGATAATTTATGCTTAGTAGGACTACTCGGTAGTATCAAATTATAGTTTCATGAATAAATAACTGTAACAAAATTTATTTTAAAGGTTTAATCCTAAATAATCATTATGAGTCTGGCAACTGTTTCTTGGGAAATGTTGTTTGAGATTACTAATCATTACATAGTAGTTTATCAATGACTATAAGCATCAAATGGATGGTCGAGCGCATATCTATTTATAATACGAAGCATTATAACTAGTTCTAATGAAATGGTTTTCTGGATCTTTCTTTACAGATAACTAAAGTACATAGTTTTCCAAGCATTTGACTTTCAAGAACTGAGTGATTGGTTCATTCTAAGCTAAATACTTTCTGACGTTACTAAATGATTTTTTAACCGGTTAACTGTCTTTTATTGTGGAAAATCTAATGAAGTATTCATTAATGTCAAGTTATTTAGTCTGATCACCACGTTGCGAACGTGATAGATTTAATTTAGCCGGAATAATTTGCAACAAAACGTTGGTAAATATATGGACTATCTTATACAGTAATTTAAAACATTTACATTTTCGATAGTCTATAAAATTACAACAATAAGATTTAATATCTACATCAAGAAGTCTTCTCAGCTAAATGTGTCGAACAACAAAGATAAACGGATCTACATTATGAAAAGTATTTATGCCTCACTATTAGAGAGGGGTACTTTGAGTACTTTGTGAGTTTGGATAATAGACATCTTTAAATTAATTACGCTTGACTCCATTATGACTAAACTCATACATAAAATAAGCACTTCATCTGCCATACTTAGGATATCAGCTATATTCAGCTTATGTGATGCGACAAACCGTATTTTGTATTGGTTTGTTAGTTAAGTTACTCGTGTACATTCATGGAGTAGAACTAAGTTTACTGAAATCTTGCTTCTATTTTTTTTTCAAAATCTTACCGAACTTTAATGTTGTCTAGGTATTTAAGCACTTCAGTGTTAGTAAAAATGAATCTTTATTGATTGGTGAGAAAAGTATACCATAAAGCATTAATATATAATTCAATGTTGACAACTACACGACATGTCTGAGTCATTTAAACTAAATTTATTAATTAATTATTGTATGGTTAAAGTCACGGTGACCTGTATAAAATGTTGTTCGGTCACAACAAATTATTGTGTTTAGAATAACATATAGTGAAAATAAGGAGGTAGATGAACATCCTTCCTTAGTGAATAAACACTAACATAAACATTTTTGTTGAGATTATATATACATTTTTAAGATGGTTTTCGTCTGGAGTTGAGGTCAATTGTTGAACCAGTGTAAACTAAGAAACACCGAATAGATGTATTGACGAATTTTAAAACCAATTAACGGATTGAATTTATGAAGGTCACCAATTGAATCCTGAACCTCAATGTTTGGCATGGAAGATGGTACTTTTAAACCACTAAATTGATGTACATTTTCATATATTTTGAAACTGACTTCAGAGAGCTTCATAAATAGAGCATGCAGCTTATTATTTAAAGCTCGAAACTAATCTTCACTCAAAGTCATTGTTGAAAGCCGTTTCAATCCCAAATTGGTCAACTTAGAAAGTCATGGATGTATTACAAAGCTACTGGGACTGGAAATGTGAACCAATAGATCTCGGCTTAATAGCTTGAAGATATTGAGTTGATAGTAAAATCACAATATTCAGTGTTCTATTCTATTTGGAATCATCAAAAACAAATAATTGTCTAACTGATGAAACCTTATTCTGAGAGGAAGCTTACGTTGTTTCAACAAATAATTCATTATTAAATTTGTGATTACGAACTGCTTCAATATATATAGGTTATGATCATCTGACCAAATATTTTTGGGATGTAACATTTACAGTGTTCAAATAAATGCGATACTAACCTAAAATATTCGTGCTTGAATAATCACATGAATTTTTAACTTGTGTCATCATATGCAAACAATATTTTTTTGTACTATTTAAACTTGTGTCAATTTAGTTCGGTTATTTATTCACCCTGAAGAAGTGACTTACATTAAGTCGAAAATACAATGTTTTGACTCGATGGGATATAACAAAAATTATGTTTATTATTAATATTTGGTAAACTTTATCACTTACCAAAGGAACAAGTTCACCTCTCTCCATCATAGCTTTTAACTCTTTACCTTTTGCTGAACCGGATTGAACTTCAGCTCGTAAAAGATCACCACTGGATAAGTGATTAAAATGAAATTTCTGGACTAATTTTTCACACTGTGTACCCTTACCACTTCCTGGTCCACCTTTTTGCAAGTAATTGAAAAAATTGAAACACAAAGAACTATAATCACAAACTCATATCAAGTGAGCGAAATTAATTAACATTTGGGAAATTGAAGATCACGGAAATTAAGTAACCGTTTCTGAAATTATATAAAAAGTAAACGGTTTATTGACAGAACTACTAATAAATTTCATAGAAATTAACTTAATTTGCAGGTGGTTTTCATCTCAGAACCTCGTCAATCACAAGTCACTCTAAGGGATACCACACTGGGACTAAACAGCTGTCCACTGCTATCTGGTTTTTAATGGTACCCTAACTGATGGCAGACAGTGATGAATGAAACCTAATTCGTCGATATGTTAATCATTTGAACGAATAGCCCACTTATTTTCCAACAACATTTTAGATCGATTTGTTTAAGAATAAAGGAATTGACTCATCAGTAATCACAATGCTTCATTTAGTCAGATGTGAGTAGTTAAAATTAATGATTAACCCAAATAATTTAGCATTTAGACTTGTATGTGATTTACAGACTACATATATTTTTCTTCTTATTCCTTACATAAATTTGAAAGGAGATTATAACAAGCTCCACTTTTTAGGAACAAAATAAGTAAGTTGGTCAAGTGAAAATGAAAAAGTATTTGCTGTTAACATGAGCTAGAGACTGACATTTCACTAGTATAAATACGTGAATTATAAATGGGTAAAGGACATGTGACTAGTTACCTAATCTCTTGCTGCTATAAATAGTTTCGGCATAAAGCGAGTCATCATGCCTCACCGATCGTGTGAATTAATAAAGTTAAAAGTGGGCATAAGACATAACAACATATAATAAAGTAGTCCAAAAAATCCAGAACTGTAACCGGAAGTAACTTTAACGATGCGACATAAATTTCGTAGTTTAAATTGACAATAGGATTAAAAGCCTTGAAAATATCTTCTACTAGTACATTTTTAACTAAAAGTATCGTTATTCAGTTCATTTTTCACAAGGCCTGTTTAGCGAACTGATTCTTATATGTAGAAGTTCCTGTGACTGGAAAGTACATCTAAGTTGCCATATAATTAAGATGCGTAACTAGCGGAATAGTATGAGGATAACGAGGCTTTTCCAATATCAACAACGAGATAATCCAAACCATTTCAACTTGAATTAAATCTCATATCCGCTGCACAAGTGAATGGCTATCTGAACTTAGTAGCTAAATGAATAACGCAATGACGTTTGAAGTGGACGGTATTGGATCCAGTCCCTGAATAAGCACCAACCCTTGGATGCACGTACATCTAGCTGACAAGCTGCATATAGGATAAAGTGCGCGTCCTTGATTCCAATGCTAAACACATGTCATTTGTTTCATATCAACTTGTGTCCTCATAGCTATATGGAGGCAATCCGCACAGAATGGCCATATACCAACCAAGACTAGTCGAATTCCAGTCAAAAATATTGACATAATGATCTAAACGATTTTAAGTTTAATTAAGTTGTAATCAAATGTTTAATCAAAGTGCAATATATGGTGTTTACAAGTATTTTTCCATTTTATTTATTGTGCCAGCACTCGAGGAGTGTAATTTATACTAGGGACTTGATTATAATTACCTAAAGTTATCGACATAATTTGTACTTAAAGTATGAATAAATTAATGACAGTAAATGCCAAAGAATTGAGTGATATCCTTCAAACAGCTTGACTCTACTAGAATGCTATTTGATACTTCAGAGCAAACTGAAACCATGTTCAAGTTGTAAAAGCATCTAGGATTTAAAAAGTGAGCCATCGGTTTTGAATTCTTTTCACACTACTCTCTCTCGAATGGCCAAGTGGTTTCATCAGCCCTTACAACATCGGGACCACTAAGCTAGAATCGAACGATGTTGATGTTTAACTTTAATCAAATCACAATATTTTACGACCATTTTCAATTGCCTGAGGTAAGTAGTTGTCTCACACCCTATATGATTGAACTCCACTCGACAAAGGTAGTCGATGAGTACTGCTGATGGGTCACGTATTAGGATGAGACAGTCATTTAATGCTTTTCAGTCTTCAATGGTGATCTAGTTAAGACCAGTTAGTCATTTTGATGCTGCCAATTTTGTAACCATAACATAACCTTGTAATGATTATTTGTAAAAATGTTTACAAATCCAAAAACTAACCACCAATTAAGGTAGGTGTTTCTTTGGGATTCTATTTGAGTTTAGTTTTTGTGGCGAAGTGACATATTTTGGAAGATCGTGTTCACCACAAATTCCAGGTTTCAGCCTATGTGGAGTCATAGGTCTGCGCAACTAAAAAGCCCCAAACCCCTCACTGAGTTCTAATGGTTAACCGTCTTGCATCTTTCTGATATACAAAATAATCATCAAGCGTTGAAAGTTAGTACCGGAATATCAAACCTAACAATACTTATTACATTTGTCTGAGTCAGTTAAGTACTGAATTAGTGCTTAGATTTAATATTTTTATTTATGATGTACAAACTGAACGTACTTAGTACGGACCATTTCTTGATGTAATCACATCATTATACTAATTGTAATCTACGATTTGTACATCCATATATATTTGTTTCATCTTTGTTAAATATGAGGAGAATTTCATGGCAGTACAAGTTTGTTGAGGAACAGAAATTTGCTATATCATTGAAAAAGCGCTTTTAAATATTCCCTTAAATGCTACATAAACAAAAAAAGACCAATAATGTTGAAACAGATTAAATTGACGAGTCCTTATAAAGCAACTAAAACGTGTATTTAATATAATTAACCTATTTTAACACTTCTAATAATTCCATCAATCGATTAATTAACAAAGAATGATAAGGTAAAAAATATATATTGTTAGTACATTGATCTTATCCAATAAACGAGCTATCTATCACTTTGAAACCCATCACATAAAGTAAGAATCAAGTATAGGATACCAGAGCTATGGTTGAGCGTTTTCGCTAAATTCTTCTTTCTATGACAATAAGTAGATATGATGCCACTGTGGTCGAAATTCAAAAAAAGCTGACTACACTCAGTAAGTGAATAATGGTGAAACACTGAAATCACTATCAGGAATATAAACTTAGCGGTCATTTACCAAGTAAAACGATAGTTTTTGTATTAGTTCATTACAAATTACTACAGAATACTTGGAATTTGAAAATTTAGAAATTGGTGAGACTATAATTTATGGACAACCTTTGAGCGACGCTAAAGTGGCCTTGAGAATGTCCAACTACTGACTAGAGCTAAATAAGGGTTTTAAACCTATGTGAAGGATAAGGATTGTGATATCAGCTAAATCGTCAAGAAGCTATTTAGCGAAATGGATAAAGAATTTCGCACTGAAATCCAAGACCTGTTTTCTTAAATCCGATTGGTTAATCCATAAATTATAGTTTCACCGTCAATACATAATTGAAGTAATAATAATAAAAGAAAAATTTCGTAGCTTATTCTTACCTAATACAAATACCACTTTTGCTTTTGCTAACTTCTGATCAGTCATCGTTTGTGTACACTTAAAAGTCCCGTTTAACAAAGAATGGGAGTACACGATCTACCACGAATTCAATAGTGTACAATAATTTGAAGGTCTATGAAATTCTATTCATTTTATTTTGGTTAATTAATAAGCGAATATGTTTGTCTATCAAATTGTATTTCATATTCTCTTTGTGATTGGAAGAAATGGAAAAAGACATTCGATTATATGTTCAGCCCTCTATTTGATTGGTCCATTATCAGAATTTAGTTAGGACGCAAAAGAACGAGAATCAATCTTCTCTGAAACGATTCTCCACCAAATTTGTGTGTTACGTTATTTATTCTCTATGATTTTACGTCATTGATCTATCTTATGAATACGATGAATCCTAAAGAGGATTGATTAATCAAAAGATCTCTGATTAGCCTTTAATCATTGAAACGAATTATTACATATAGCAGAGGCTTTACGAATCAAACTGATCTAGTCATCCTTTTTTTCACTACTAACAAACGATAAACTGTTAGCAGAAAACAGGAATTACCTGACCGGAATAAACACATCGACTGTTTTGATTCATTTTGTAGCAAAGACTAATTTACTAGACATTTCTTATAAGTAGAAATATTTTAGGGCATATTATAAATCAAAATAATTTAATTAGGTTAATTTGAACGTAGCGTTCTAGTCGCCTGTAAATTTCATTGAAATATTAACATATCTTTTAAAAATCTTTCTAGGAATATAATGACTAGTATATGCACATATATATACAACTCAATTCTGACAATGCGATCCAGAATAACGAAATTATTTCTAAATATCTTATTTTTTAATTCAATAATTGGAACAGTAAACTATTGAATTATTGCAGCGAAATTTAGAAAATGAATTTATTTTTTTCTGTTGAGAGTTTCCTTTATTTACTGCTGATGACAGGTTTTAGTATCATGGATTATAATTATTTATTTATTGATGATCGTGAAAATGCTGACCAGTACAAAAGAAAGACCTAAATATATCATTATTCATTGTAGTAGGAAAAACTTATCTTCAGAGCTGGGTTTTGTTGATATTATAGTAATTTAATTCATAAATTGAATTCATAAGTCAATTGAAGCCAGACCACTATGGAAAACCTGGAAGCACTGGACGGCCGTTTCGTCCTAGCGTGGGACTCCTCAGGAGTGCGCATCCACGGCCGTCCAGTGCTCAGGAATGCAACTATTAAAGTATTTATTTGTTCAAATGGAATTTTATCATTTCATGATTATGTGTTCATCTCTACTTTACAGAAATATAATGACATCTTGGAGTTATTCATTGAAGTAGTGTTGAACTGATTAGACTTTACTAAAATGTTAAATATTTATAGTCATAGCCATGTATTGCAACAGTAGTAGGTTTTTTTAAAACTCTTTCAGGCAATATCTCAAAAATTAATTTTGTATAATTATAATGCCAGTATGATATGAATACTTGATTCGGTCAACAAATAGGCATTATGAATTTTTTTTAATTAAGACGACATTGGTGACAAATAGAATAAACGTTATATAAAAACTTATAATTGGAAAAAAATGGAACCAGTTTTCAAAAAGAAATATTGGGATTTTGTCACAATATTTGTTCGAATTTCCATATAGAATAAAAGTCAATGAAATTTACTAGACCACATTACTATGGAAATGGATCGTATTGTAATTAAATCATATTATTAAGAAAGACTTATTGCTGATTGTCTATTCTGAAATCACTAGTTTTACGTTCAGTGAAATATTGCTTTAGGTATGTTTTTGATTTACTGATACCTACACTTATCCCGTCAAAATGACAAGGGAAATAGTTTCTATGAACGAAGTATTTCTTTTATAATTTAGTTACAGATAGAAGGACAGTTTTGCTTACTGATTTAGTTCACCTCATCTTTATGTCTCATAGTTAGGTGAATGAATTTCAACGATTTTATAACACCTTGACATTTACATTCATAAAGTTATACTGTACTTCTCTTGTATATCTGAGTGTTACAAATCTTTTAGCGATTGAACTAGACGATATTTTCAGTCCATTTTTTAAAATAGTATCAGCTTACAAAATAACTGCTGAACATGTAATAAATAAGTGGAAGTTGATATTAATATTTAAGGAAGACTTCAAAATTCTGTTTAATTGAACTAATTTTTTTACTTAAAATAACCTATTGTGTCATTGAATAAAAATAATTCAGTGGAGAAAATTTTCTTTTCAACGAAATCATTTACTTAAACTGTACATTCGTATTTATAGTTATGTAGAAAATATATGTCTATAGAAGGATGAAAAAGACTGCATCATAAATTAATTCGAGACTCTTATTATCAGTTGAGGTTACGCAATAATCAAGAAGTATGAGAATAATATAAGGCTGGAAATAATTTACGGGTCTGAATTATAAGAGATGATTGTCCAATTGACAGATATGAAGAAAAACGACAAACACAAAGGTCATAATAAGAAAAACTAAATAATAATCAAGAAAACGTGTTTAAAGGTAATAAGAACTGATTACAGTTTAAAATTACAAAACAGTAATTTAACAAATCAATAATAATGATAATAATGAATGTGCATCTATAAATTTACCTGCACATGTGGGGCAGAATACACTGGGCACACAAAACGATCACTTTTTATAAGCACTTCAGAACGCTACCCGGCATGGCTTTTAAAAGGAGAATGCAAAACAATTACTAGTTCGATACAGGAGCATTTAATCAACTATGGACACATCGCTTCAAAGCAGTCTTCTTTTAAAATAATCTACACAGTCAAAGTAATTGGATCAAAACATGGTTGAATCAAAATCTTATGCACTACTGAGGCATTGGCAATCACCAATTCAGGCCCGAACTTAGCATACAAGAACGATACATCCAACCTCTCAACCTTCCTTAGCCCTTTGTCGCATGTTTCGACATATTTTAAATTATTATTGATTTGTTAAATTAATGTTTTGTAACTTGAAACCGCAATAAGTTATTATTCAGTTGAACATGTCACAAGTATTTGTAGTTTAAAGCAATTAGTCCCTTTTATAAATTTCGATAATGTAATAATCTCCGTCTTCTTATTTTTACTTTGACAATACTTTAACCAGTAACACCGTCTATAATGAAATCGTGCCCATCCAGTGAAATCAAAAGTCAGAAGGAAATTCGAAGATATATTTGATAGGTTATCAATATATCGAGAAGTGACTGATCTAAACTGGCTAGCGATTGCTGGAGAAGTTGAACACAGCGTTCCCACTTGTGATCTGGTGTAGATGCGTGACCAAGCGCCTTCAGCTAGGTATGTCCATTAAAACTAATGTGGTCAGCATCAAATGCCGAAAACTTACAGAGCTACTGATTTTGGGAATTTATCTACCACTACACAGTTTTTATTATTATGACCATTATGTTTGTCGTTTTTCTTCATATCTGTCAATTGGACAATCATCTCTTATAATTCAGACCCGTAAATTATTTCCAGCCTTATATTATTCTCATACTTCTTGATTATTGCGTAACCTCAACTGATAATAAGAGTCTCGAATTAATTTATGATGCAGTCTTTTTCATCCTTCTATAGACATATATTTTCTACATAACTATAAATACGAATGTACAGTTTAAGTAAATGATTTCGTTGAAAAGAAAATTTTCTCCACTGAATTCTCTTTGTTTTAATTTTTTTATTATCAATAATTTGCACAACAACATCAAATCACTATCTATCACATCATATCATTTTTGTTGTTTATCTGAAACATATGATTAACACAAAAAACTACGATGAGCTCTTGTGTACTAAACCCCATGATGAACAACCACGATGGGAAACTGAACGGAGGTTGTTTCTGATTTTGAATTAGAGGGTTAGACACTACAAGTTACTGTAATAAAGCTAGGTTACGATATATGGTCACCTTATAAGGTACCAGTTAGAGAACCATTGAAGGCCGAAATCCCCTACATAGTTACTTTAGTCTAAATTGAGGCTTGTTAGCAAAGTACACGAACGATACCCTATTGAGTTGTACCCAGAATCTTCAGAACACTGCATCGGGATCTAATAGTCTGTCTTTTTAAATATAATCAGTTATTGGGCTAACATTATGTGCACCTTTTAATTTTCATATAAAAATGTCTTAACAAGTATATGTGTGATCAGATTGTTCGAAATGTATTGAGCAAATATATCACACAATTCTGATAAACTTCTCATTGCATTATCAAAATTTATCAAAAAGACTAATATCAACAAAAATACCCTCATACTGATCATATTATTTATCATTTATTCAACCTTTAAACACCTTTACAGTGGATGATAAATACAACTGTAAAGTTAATATGGATTGGGATAACCTAAATTTTTCACACCTCAAGAAATGTAACATTATCAAAAGATTTAATAAAAACAAGCACCATAATTTTATTTGAATACTATATGAAAGAACGATCGAAACAAACTGAAACTGCGGTAGTACATATATTGATTTCCTAAACACCAGAACCAGTGTAATAGACAGTTGACACCAAGTTACTTTGTATGCCCTAATTGTGAATCGATACACTTACATGTTATGTAAGCTGACTAAATGATATTACCTGTATACAAATTATTTGACTATGTACAGACATACAAAACATCCTACTTTTCACAACAATAAAATATCCTAACAACTTTTCCGTTTATAAAAGTAGTTGTCTTTTGTTAAATCACACATAAAATCTTATCTGTTACATCATTATGTAAGTTTACCTTTTTTAAAGATATATACATTTAAACTTAAATATGCATTGAAGTTAGACAATATCCTTTAAATTCTCATTAAACCTAACATATAACACAGTTGATATGACAGAAAACTCTTAGGCTTTTTATTACAATATAATATAAGACAATATTTCCCTTCGATTATCTTCATTTCATAATAAAATAATGAACTCTTTAATTTTTCATAGAGTACAAATACATATATTTTTATTGTT